TTTCCATATGGAAAAAATTGATAATACTAAAGAGAAAAAGCATCCCTGTCAAATTATTGGAATTGGAAAAATTACTACAAGAAAACTTCTTATTTTCTAAGTTGTTTTGGTTTAAGTTTGACATATCTTTCAAATTAAAGTCAATTCTGAAATGTGACGGGTTACTATTTAGGTATGTAACTAGAAATTAGTATCCTCTTTATCTTTTTACCAATTATTTTCTAGAAATAGCAAATGAATTCATTTCAGAAACTTAATTTGCTAATCTGTTTACTCGCCGGTATTACAATTGTGCGAATTATTTTAGCATAATTACTTTGATCTTTGAAAGTGCAAAGTGCCATAGGTATAATATTTACAATACATTATTTATATAATGTCTAATATAATAATCTTTATCCAGTGGCCACTTTGTGTCTGTATCAAATATCGCCGAACGCGTCCTAAAAATTCCAAATTTTAGGTTACGCCGGCGCCAGTGTTAATTACCAGCGATATTGTTAATATTTCCTATTGTTCTGTTATCGCAAATTTAATCGCAACCACGAAACGTTGCGATTAGAGACTACGCGTTTTTCCCAAAATCATTTTATTGTTATATTTTTCGGCTTATATACCGCTTTCAGAAAAACCCTGCAAAAACTTATAATGCGGTAAAATTTGCCACTTTTTGCTCTCTTTCTCGGCCATGTCGTTATAAGCTACGTAACTGTACTTAATTATCGTTATGTTGTTGTGCTCGCCACTGAATACCCCGATTTAGTTTTGAAGTAGAAAGTCAATTTTAAGTTAAAATACGGTTGTTTCCGTGCAAGCTTTAATGTTATTTATTACGCGGTAAACATATATTCCGCTTGTATCGAAACTACTAAGCGAGTACAATTTTATAACTCGTAGCCCATGTCAATTAACCTCTTAAGCTTATTCAGGAAACTCTCACTGACAAAAAATAAAACTTTAGTTCACCACCTTTTAACATAATCGCTGTACACAATATTATGATAAATTTTTATCGTAAATATTTAGTTTTTGCTTTAATTTTACTTAGTTTTATAACGGACCTTAATTTAACAACAATACCACCATTATTGAAATTTTGAAAAAGTGAATGAAAGAATAAATGATTTGCGGGTTAAATCATGCACGGCATAATATTTTTAAACGATCCTTTTAATTCAATATCTTAATATTTTAGGATCCGAGGGTATGAATCTTGTAAAAAGTAAATTAAAAAGTGACTAGAAACTCACAAACTCAAGCAAAACCTCAAATAATAATGTATGCAATAATATAAATAGATTAATCCCAATATTTATTAGTATATTATATGTAAGAAATTTGTTTCAAATTCAAATTTAACCAGGTTCAGTATTATCACTATTTTTAGAAGTACTTTTAAGTAACAAGCATGAAGAAACAATTTATTTACAGCTATTAAAAATCAATTGAGATAATTAATGAAATATAACTACTAAATACGCCTTTCCACTTTTGAAAATAACATCAAAAAATATTGAAACGGCTATTATGAAATCGCGCAAAGTGCGGGTTAGTGAATCAATGATATTATCTAATGGTGTATATATACATCTTTTTCCGTTGGTCGGCTAACTAGCATTGTAGGGCAAGCATTGTAGGGAAAACTTTCCCTACAATGCTTCTTTAAATTAAACATATTTGCTATTAAAATGAAGGTATTGAAGTAAAACAAAAAAAAACAAATAACCTTAAGTTAAAAAAGAAAGAAGAGTAAGATTGTCTTAAAATATGCATAGAGTATAACACAAAAATAACTAAAATCACATTTAAAATATGAAAAGATGCTTTGGGTCAAAATTTTTCAAAATATTATATCGATTTTTTAGCGGATGAATGCAAAAATGAACACGAACTTCTGATGTTATTCTACTTTTAATGCAAACATCTGGGTCAGCGGGTGTAAGCATAATTACATTTATGTGACATTGCTCGTTGTTTATACAGCAAATGTACACGGGTTCAAATGTAGAACTTTTGTGCAAACTTAACCCGAATTATCTGGGCACTGAAATCATAACACAAAACCGTCTATTTAAAGTGAATTAAACGCCATCTACAATCACAAAACAATATATGGGTAACAAATATAAAACACGTTCTATAATTATAAGAAAATCTGAGAAAATTAAAATAATAATCGACTTACCATGAAGATTAATATTAATTTTCCGAGCTTGTTCATCATGTATTCGATTACGACGTTTAAATGAAAAAACGTGTTTTCTTCGCTATTTGTCTCCGCCGAACGCCTGTGGATCATTTCGTTTTGAAACAAAATCGCCTAGGGGGTATCACTGGGTAAAGGGTAAGTTTGTAATTGAACCTACCGACATGCTCTGAAAATTAATATTAATCTTCCAGTTACGTCGATTAATCTTTTAATTTTCCTTCGCTTGTCCTTGATTACACACTGTAGATGTTCAGAGTGAAAGGCGATTTCGCTGCAGCTGGAGCTGGAGGTATATTTTTCATAATTTATAACAATATGAACCAAAGCAATAACGACCCACAACGGTGTAGTTTTATCTACACAATAATATATACAATAACGAGTATATCTTTTTAAATGATGGTGTTTTATTCTATGCTCAGTGCTTTTTTGGGAACGTTTCTTAGGGCTGGACTAAGGGTCCAATATAAAATTTAAAAAATGTATTGAAGCATCGTGTCCAAGCGGCTGTACGGGATATTACGTCAATATTGACACCTTATCTTGAAGCAGCCGAAGTTGCTGCACAACGGGGGCCGGAAAATATTTTGGTGTCAATTCCACCTAACTTTTTAGGAACCTTATGGTGTGTGAAATGGTTTTTTTTATGCATTAGTAGCAGTTGCTCATATTTGTTGCGAATTTTTTCTAAATAAGTCTACGTTGTGAGCTACGCATAGCTCTACCATTTTGTGAAGATAAGGGAATTTCAGAAGCGGGTTGGTTTTATTTGGAGCTGATATTTTAATCTTGTCTGTAATTCAAATTTCTATTTTCCCGTCCACAGTATATTCCCCATTTTTAGTGCCGTCAAGGTTTGTACTCTACTTGCTGATGAGATTGACAGTAAAAGACTAGTTTGTACGTTAACTGTTCTAAACTTAAACCAAGTTTTTAAAACCGCCAGCACCCGATCCCAATTCCACGTGATAGCGTGATACACTTTTAAAAATTTCTAATGATTTTTGTATCATCCTCGTGGAGGAAGGTCCAATATTTTTCAAACAACTGAAGTAATGATTGGGAGTGACTTCTGCTAGCGACTTGACCATGGTTGATATTGCCGTCTAGAGTGTATTATCTTTCTTCATTCTTCAACAGTCTTTTAAAAATAGGGTACCACGCTTGTGAAGGTGGGAAGGTGTAAAAGTAATATTTGTTCCACCAAATAGTGAACCGCCAAAGAATTTGCATCGGGAAGCCAGGAAATATACCTTTTGCACTTATTGTTTATTCGTGAAGCCAATAGGTCTACTTCAGGAATCCCGAATTTTTTAGTAATTTTTTGGTTTGGTTCGGTTCGCATTCGGTATCGAGTGGTAATGATCTAGACTCTTTGTCCGCTTTATTTTTTTCTGTTCACGCAATGTAGTTTGCAAACACCGTCAAATTACTGCCCCAATCGCTTGTAGATTAAAGACTGGCGGGCTCCTTGCTGCCTACCTGACCACCGGTTTACGGTAGTTTACGGTGAACTTTAAAATGTTTTTTTGTCATTGAGATTTATTTAAGTTCATAATCAGAACATCGCCGAAGTAAGCAACCAAGAGAATGATTAATGTTCTAAGACAAGCAGTAACTGGCTTAGGTGTACACAATTGTTTTGACTTTCTATGAAAGGGTAGATGTATCCCTCTGATCTAGTTCAGTCACTGATTATCGCTTCCCACGTATCTAAAAATTTACCTTGTTTAAGCAAGTTATTTCCTGGTGGTAACAGTGTTTCTTGTTTCTTCTGATTAGTGGTCTCTCCTCCATCCTCTGTGAACTTGCTTTGTGGATATCGTCGATATAAAAGGGTAACGCGTGTTACCTTTCGTCTGGATCACATGATCTCGAGGAATATTGAAATCGGACGATTTCACTCTCCTTTGTCGATATCATCAATGGAAAAAGGTAACGAGTGTTACCGCATGCGTGGTGCATGATTTCACTCTCCTTTGTTGATATCAACGATATTCAAAGGTAACGAGTGTTACCGTACTCTTCTGTATGAGCATAAGGTTGGCAATAACTAATAATTTGCGGATTCCTAAAAAGTAAGGGCTGTTTTGTATGAGATATGTTACCTGTTGTAGCCAACACTGCAGTGTGCTCTGAATTTTTTGAGCTTTTTTTGAATTCGTTTCAACTTCCAATTTTTCTCAGTATTGGCTATTTTACGTTTTGGCATTATTAAGAACGCAAATTTATTTCGTCAATTTACAAGAACACGACAAGACGGAATGATTCACAGGCCCGGCGTTCGGCGGAGATGAAAAGCGATACTACAGTGTGTAATTGCATCACGGACAAGCGAAGGTAAATTATTTACAAAACTATCATCCTTTATGTCCTCAATTGGAACTTGAAAAGTACCTGGTGATTCATATTCGTGAGGCAATAAATGAAGAAACAATAGCGGTTTTAATTTTTATTTATAAATTTATTCCAGTTTTTGTTCTGATAACAGTAAGTACGACATTACATACATACATAAAATCATTTTATCAAGAAAAATTCACCTAAACAAATATTTCTAACAATTTCTCTTGACGATTTTTTCGAAAGGATTTTTTGGTACGACCATTAGCTTCTAAAATGTGAATGACTAGTTATATATAATTCTATAGGCAATATTCCATACTATTATTTCCACTATTTAACGCTTAATTGTCACTTAATTATCAACAGTTCCACGTTTTGTAAAGACTGGAACTAGTTATAATAGGATAAAAAAATATAGATTTTGAAGCAATAAATCAGTCAAAAAAATTATGTATTTTTCTATAAAAAGAATAAAACGAAAATGCAAGTATGAAAGAAAATAAATCATAGAAAGAAAAACCAATTTCTTGCACTTACGCGTTAATCCAATCATCCAATGATTTTAATTCATATTTATAAAAAACACATAGGTCGAAATCAATTTTTGCGAAATTTCTTGCATATATTTCAATATTTTACGGATCATGAATGATTTTAAGGAACCTACTTCAAATTAGGTGGCAGTTGCTGCCTCCAAAATTCCTGCCTAGCGTTCAAATATTCGACGGTTTCACGAATACAGTTCCGAATCGAATCGTCATTCTCCTTAAAGCTACACTTAATACTAGGGTTTAGTAATAACCCATCCAGGTAATCCTTGTCAGTACCAAGCTCTCTTAGCAGCCTGCTGGGCTTGGCAGAGTTGGCTGTGGCGAATGGGGTCGATCGGCGACTAGACTTCGCGTTACTCGTGGGGCTCTGCTTAGTGCTGCTGGATTCCTTGGATTTCGTGCTTCTAGCAGAGCTAAGATTGCGTCCTATAGATCCTATTGCGTTTTCGATTGCTTTCTGAGCTTTGTGCACCCCCAATTTGAAGCCTTCGTGATCAGGACGGATGTGCAACCCCCTGTGGAAATACACTAGACTGTGCTCGAAATCGCTGAGATAGTAAAGAGCTTCCGCTTTTTGGTAAATTGCTTTTATGAAACCTTTATCTATTTTGAGAGCGGCTTCGGCGTCTTTGAGTGCGTTTTCCGGCTTCCCTAACAAGATGTAACATTTGCTTCTGGCGACGAGCGAGTTTTTCTCGGTCGGGTTGAGTTCCAGTGCCTGGAAAAATTAAGGGATAACGTGAGCGAAAGGAATGCCGAATATATTGAAAATTCCCGGTATCGACATTTGCTACATCAAATTCGAGTTCTGTTTCTCTTGCAGACTGGGAGGGAAAAATGTTAACTGAGATAAAAGTCCGGTTACATTGTAAAGTGACACGGGGTCATTAGCGTTTTTGTTAGACACGAACCCTAACGAGAATGAGGTGACTTTATTTAAAAAATTCGCTTAATTTTGCAACGTCCCCCGAAAACCGTTACAGCGACACGTTAGCAACAATAGAAGGAAAACATCAACAAAATTATGTAAAATATCGCCACCAAGTGGTTCTTATTATATCAACTGTCCAGTTTTTTATCTGACCTCTTTGAAAAAAGAGTAGCAAAGATAAGTGAGCTCCTTACCTTAATTGGTCGATGATATGAAGACCAACAACACTTAATATGCTTTTATTATATTCAAAACATCCTTTTGGAATAAGTTTCCTTAAAATATAGATCATCCCTATCCATCCAAAACACTTGCCCAATCTTCAAATGATTAGACATCTCATTGAATGAAAGGCCTTATGCTCTTGTTGTAATTAAACCTCTTAGACAATGCTTTATGGAATTTACAAAATCCGAAAGCTATGATACTAGTGAACGTTGAGAGTTCATTTACGTGCCTTTTAATTATGGACCAAAATTGTTTCAATTCAACACATACGTGTAGGACTACATAAAATTTCAGTTTTGTTAGCTGTAGTAACCTTTTCTATTTTTTGTATTCTTTATCAATTATTTCACGGCCAAATTATGTGAAAACTCATATGAGAAACAGTTTAAGAAATAGGCGCACAAAATAAAGTTATATAATTTCTAATTCTAGATTAAATAGAATATTTTAAAAACTTGGGTTAGTCTGGTTAATCAAAATTCGGAAAATACCTCCCTATAAGCGTTAAACGTCAGTAAAACGTTTCTTCCCGACGCAACAGAAATCCAGGAGTTTCTTTGAAAAGGAAAAGTAATATTTAATATATATAATATAATTTTTGTATTATACAGGTGGAAATTTTTTGTTGTAAATTATTTTTAATTTCCCACGTTACTCTTGTTTAGGAGCACAAAAATTTTAAGTAATTTTCATGCGCGAGAACGCAATGTCTCAAAGAACAGTGATTGTTTCGGAAGGAAGAAAAAATAATTTTTGGGGACTCCTTTGCCTATCTTTTAAAAGGGACATTTCAGGCACAGACATAGACAAAAATCATCTTAAGTCCTTGAATTGTCAATAAGCGGGCGTTTTAAAAGCTAGGTGGAGTAATGTTTCATTATCACAATGTTTGACTTTTTCAACTGCAGACACTACCAATTTTCTATGTACAAATCGATAAATCCGGAAGCAAATTCTCTTGGCATCAATCTGAAATCAGCCGTTTAACTAATAACTAATAATAATATCAAGGAGCTTGCAAAATAAATTTGTAAGTACCACATAGACACGATATCCGCTAATCAGACAAGTCGGAACATGCAATCGAATGACGGCTTAAGTGTGCAAACAAAACCTACGATAAGCACGTGTGGCTATAGCGACTTTTACAAATATCATTTTATACAGGTAGTGTGCCATATCTGAAGCTGAACTAATGTTAGGAAAAAAACTGCCCGACAAGAAAGCGTTAACTTTTGAAATGGAGGGTGGTGACATTTCGTCGTTCATATAATTAACTCGACGAAAACACAACTAATTTTTTTTTTAAATATTAGTGTGATACAATCGCAGACCCCGCCACTGGAAGAAATAAAAAAAAGTATTGTGTACCTGAAAATGCCCCTTCATGCATGTACCCAATTTACCCAATATTTAGAATCGTTTCTTATATAACAAAAATATAGTTTTTAGGACGTTTACTAGGTTGATATAAAGTTTTTTTTTAAGATGAATCCAACAATTATCCCCTTAAATATTGACACACCATTCAAAAACACTCTGTTGTAGTTTCATTCTCCATTTAGGGGCATTTTTATCTAATACCAAAAACTATGGGATTCTATTTAAAACAATCAAAAGATAGCCACTAAAATGTCTTATTTGAGTACAATGAAATTTTGGGCACCCTGTATTAGTAGATAACTTTTTTCATTTGGAATATAAAATAATGATTATAAGTTAACTAACACTTTTTAATTATTTGAAATATTAAAATTATGGTAGCTGTTTTAAGGTATAATAAAAATACATATTAAAATAGGACTTTAACAAATTTAAAAATGTGCTGAAAAAAATCATTTTCGTAAAATGAGTAACAGTCTCACAAAATTCAAACTTTTTAAATTCTATTTTGACTAGGACATTAATCCGCGTGACATTAGCGCCAGTTAACCCTGTATATACTTGACCCTTCACCCCTCTGGAATGGGGCCTGACCTTAGACATGAAATCTATGGCGATTTGTAAATCGCCTCTGCTCATTTCGTAATTGCCCAGGGCGAGAAAAGTGCCCGGCTCCGCTTCCTCCGGAATCTGCAAATTCCTAAATCTGTCCTGCTTCCTTTTCAGCCGCAGTGACTGTTTAATGTCCTTCGAACCCATGTTTACGGCTGCAGCTCTATCCTTGTCACAATAAAGCTCCTCGTGCTTCAAACCTCTGCGCCTCCTTTTCTTGCCTTAAATTAAATTCAACTAAACGTATCTCTCGGTTGCCGAAAATTCCCGCTGAATTTTTTCAAAAGTTTTTAACTTCATCATGAAACAGTAAATATTGTTGCGCGAGTTCTATTTCTGTTGAAACCTCGAAGTGCTATTTCTCTAACGGTTAACTCTTCTTCTCTATTATTTATACTTGATTTAACGGTATCGAAATTTTTGGCTCTATATAACAACAAAAACTGGTTCATTCTTATTGTAAACCGGCCATTAAAAATCAGCGATTACTTTCCTTGTACATTTTTCGACGATTCTATTTTATTTACTTTATAGAAATCGAAAAATAATTTCAAAATTTTCGAAGATGATTCTTTTCTAATATAGATAAACATCTTTAACCGGAAACTTATTAATGTTTACATTTTTTGCTACTTGGGATTGACTGTGGATACCACCAGCTGGTTTTCATGGTAGTAATCATCATCAAATTCAACATTGTCCATTATATTGCCGAGAAACTTTTTTTTTTCAAAAATCTTGAATAACTATGTTAGAAATATTCTTGCAAACAGCCAAATAAATTTTATTTAAAATTGCATTAATTGTTTTAATTATTCTTAAAATCTTAATACATAATATTTTTATACCAAAATTATTCAAGATTTTTGGAAAATTCCCTTTCGTCACGATATATAATAAATTTTGAAAATTTAATTTCTCAATTATAGAAAAAAAAATTAAATCTATCTAATAAATTCATTTTATTGCCGTTTTTACCATGTTTTAAATTACCCTTTTTCTTTTCGTTTTCTTGAGTAAGTTCCTTTGACAATTTCTTGCTGGTATCCGACGAGAGTGGTCTTTGCTTTTTGCTTTCGTCGGGCTGCAGTATTTTGTCTTTTTCCTGTTGTTCAACTATTTGCTTCATCTGCCTGTCCTGTTTGCTGTTTTCTCCGTCGTCATCATTAACATTTATTCGCACAAAACGCTGCAGCAGTTCGCTCTCTCTCGTTATGCTCAAACGGCGTTCCGCTTTGAGTTTAGAGTCATCTGCCATGTTTTTGGTTTTTTCTAAAAATATCGATATTAGAAAATAATTTAATAAATAAATTTTCACATGTTTTACATGTGCAAAGAGTATTTAAACAGGGAATGACCAAATGAATCCCATGTTATGATTGATTTTTTACTTCACGTTTGCCAAAAATACTTACCTTTTTTTATAACGTCGGAATTGCTGCACCGTTAAACTCAGAGTCAATCACCACATTTTTTAATTTTTTAGATCAGATGGAACCATTTACGTAAAAACGTAGGCACATAAATGAGTTTACGCAATTTTTTCGCACCAGAGGTGTTGGTAGTCATGGGAACTCGAAAGGTGTGATCGATGTTTAAACGCTGGTGTCGGCCGAAGTTGGTTTAGGAGTGAACCCATTCGTATGAAGTTTAATTGTGTTTCGAACGCGGATTTTGCTCTTTCATATTTGAGATATTTGAGTGTTGCTTTCAATTTTTCTCAATATGTTTCGTTTGGTTTAAAAGTATCTGTCCCTTTCTTTTTTTACCGATCGTCTAACATACATATATTTGACATATTTGTTTTAAATGGAAATGTAAAGCTTTTCAAACATTTAATTGCTTCCGAAAATATGAGTTGAAATGAGCAAAGAGGTTTATCCTAAGGCGACATAGATAACCAGAAGATGCTGTAACCATTCTGCAGATACCCGGATAACTGCTAACGAATACTATTCCGGATAGAGTTAAATAAAATCAAAACTTAAATAATTGAAACAAGATTGTAAGATATGCCATTAATTTAAATTCAGAAATGCACAACTTTGACGATAATTTGATATTTTACATAATCATTCAAAAAGCAACAAACTGAATTTATTGGAAGCTATGTAGATTACCAAAATGAGATATTCGAATTTATTACTTAATGACCAATTGGATTTAAATGCGTCTCCGTTGTTAAATTTAAATTTATAACAATATAACTGTTTTTTTATATGTGTTGGAATATAGTCATACTTTGTATTTGTTGCCGAAACAACTGTCATAAAGCGTTGAAAACTGAAAATCTGATCATTTTTTGTTCTAATTTAATTTGTGTTAAATGGATTTTAATCAAGTAAAAACCACCTCAGTCCGAATTTATTAATGGTTGGATCGTTTACGAATAGTGAGAGGCTCGAAAGGTTGTGTAAGAAAAGAAATAAAGACAACGAAGGTTCAGGAGTTTTTTACTGCTTATTCTGGAATGATAAACTAATTTTACGCTAATATAAATAAAATATATGTACAGTGTCCATCCAAAGTCAACCCCTACTAACTTTTGAACCACCGGGTATATTTAAATAAAATTTTCATTTTCATTTTTCCGCATGGAAAAATGTTATTTATCCTCAAAAAAGACATGTGCTGAGACGAGCAAGAGAAGTCTGATAATGTGAAAGAGGAAACTTCCAGAAAGAAGCCAGTAATATCAAAATACGAAACAAAGTCTAATTAGGATTCACCTGAACACAACTGGGAGTTGGCGAAAATTTTTACTGAGCAAAACCCGAGTCGTTCACAGTCCACAAACATGAAACTTTAACGCGTTTTCTACAGTGGTTCTTGACTGGCAATGCGAGATTGAAACGTTCATTTCTCCCCCGAATATTTTCATATCTGCTGGGGAAAACTTTAAAACGAAATTCCTTATTTCGGGGTCTTATCTTTCCGGGTTAGGCAGTTTAGTTATGGGAAAATTGAGTAAATTTAAAAGTTTTCGTCGAGAGCAATTTCCAAAGTTAAATGAATAGAGTATTTTTACTGTTGCTTATATTACGCGACTGGTGAGGTTTGTTATTTTCCCTGGAAAATTTATTGCCCCTTCGGCGAACTCTTGCTTTGCATGCCGTAAAAACCGAGCAGCAAAGTTTGTACATCGTGAGTAGTAAATTTCATCTCCCAATATTCTTCAACACTTTCAAAATTGAATTAGTGCTGGGGAGTATAAAAAAATTGTTTGTCTCTCTCTACTCACAAAAATTTAAACCCAATAAAAGCCAATTACTGGCAGTGCAATTATTTTAAAACAAAACTCTTTCTTTAAAAGTCGTTTAAATATCCTGCACCATTATTTATTAATTAATATTAAATGGGACAAGATGTTGCGTTTATCACAATACTTTTACATCGAATTTTGACCTGGGGAGAAAAAAAAATCCTTTAGAAGACAGTCACCAAAATTTTTTTAAATAAATTAAATGCTTTTCGCGACATTTATGGCAATGTCCTTTATTGCTGGGTACGATGCTTTATAATTTAATCGAAAATTTAACTAAAAGTAGCTTTTCTACAAAGAATTTCCAGTTGCAGGTTCTGAAAGTGTTCAAAGCTCCCCGTCACCAAACTGAACATTCGCAGTTTAATATGTTGGAATATTGGACAATTGGACAATCAACAATATACCGACTTCTGTACGAGGAAAAACTCGGCCCCATCAGGTCACCAAAGAGAAATACAAGAATAAAAGAGATTGTAGTAAATGACGATACCATTAGAAGAATAACAAACTCGTTTTACTTCAAAAAAAGAAATACTTACCTTGAACACAATAATGTTTGAAATGAAGAAGAAGAACATGAGATTCAGAAAAAATGTGGTAAGCTCAAAACTTGCTAGAAAATATTGTAGAGCCCTTTATTATTTCTTTCTACTCCAACGACTATAATAGTTTATCTGACTACTCAGAATGTGATGAGTAAAATTTACAAATGAAAGTGGTCTTGGAAATAGTAGATTTTGTATCAATTTGATCTTAGGATAATATCCCAATATCTCAAAATTATGTTGTTTCTATAGTCATTGTAATGTATAATTATAATTGTATTTATGAATCTAATAAACTACCTGTAGTAACGCCGCTGTCGCATTACTTTCATTCACCACCATACAGTGTGTTCAAACTAGTGTGACCGTAATTTCGAAACAATTAAACGCCAGCAGGTCATAAAAACTGAAATATATAATTTATCATTGCAATTTACTATATAATCTTTCAGTCATCCACCCGCTTTAATGATCCCTGTCATTGCAAATTTACATTTTATTACATTTCGTAAAAACTATTATTTTTATTGCTTATAATAAAGAAGTCAAAATCAATTATTCCCTATCCTTGTGTGATTACTATTATAGGGCTATGCAGGGACTTCAGAAATATTAAATTGTTCCAGAAATTCAGATAATGCCTTAAGTCTGGACGTGTCAGATTGTTGACGAATATATCTATATATAAGTACCGAATTATTTTTTGACGCATTAATTCACGGATGAAAAAATAAGATGTGTTTTAAAACACTTCGAACACTGGAGCACGAACATTGAAAATGCAAAGGCGAAACGTCTGCAGGAGTCCAGAGTTCAACAAACGAACGGATTATATCCCGGAATATATTGTTATCCCGGAATTATTCATTTATAAATATCGGGGTACCTTATGATAACAATCCAACGATTTCGCGATGTTTCCAGACTTGAAGTGACTATTGGCTTCCTCGTGCCAAAGTTTGGATTCTTTTTTCTGAGTCACAAGTTTCGTCAACGATTCGGATCTCTGTCTTTTGTTTTCGCTCATCGCGTTATGTCAACTAAAATCAGATAACGGATTATAGTAGTAGTAGTAGTAGTAGTAGTAGTACTTCTTTTTTTAAATATACTAAAAATATTTACGGAAGTGTATATTATGAGTGATTATCATGGATTAACCGTAGCTGCTTTAATGAGACATTAAGAAAACTGTTTGTTTTGAAAAATTCGTGGTACTTACTTTGCTTATTGGAAATAAAAAAAGTAGCTTTAATAAAAAAAAATGGCCAGTTTGTAGAAACATCTTTTTAATGTGCAAATAATACCCCATTTAATTTAATACCCCATTTCACAATGGGGTATTAAATAATATACTGAAAACTAAAAAAATCGTTAATTTAAAACTGAAACTGAACAGCAGCAGCAGCGTTAAGTAATAAGGTTTTTATCTGCACTGCGCTTACCCTTTTAGCATTGTCCGTAGTGGATACAGGAGTTTTTATTTTTGGTTTTTCTCTGAAAACATATAAGCCACTTAATAATTGTTATTGGACTAGGAACTAGATCTCGCCAATTTAAATGGAAATGGCTATGAAATAGACGCTTAGGTGTGACAACATTTTGATAACTATGTTTTAACAACTGTAGTATTTTTTATTATTAAAAAACTTTGTCATTCATTTTTCTATTGTCTTTATTTTTACTTAATTATGCAACATTTCGTACATATGGATCACTGCATTAACTAAACTATTATATACTGGTTAAGCCGTTCTTCCCGTCACTAAGGACGCCAGTATTTGTGAGCTTTTCGTTTCAACATTGTCAGTATTGCGTGCAGGGTAACAGTCATTAATGCCCAAATATTAGTTGTTTGAAAACGTTAAACACAGATATAGTAAATAGTTTCACGTTTTAGTCGCCGACTCTGAAATATTATCGTGCAATAATTCTCGAATTTAAAATATTACAATACTGGTAACTAATTTTAAATTACCTGCTTGTTGTTAGTAATAAGCCTATCCATAAACAAATAATGAAAACTTCATTAAACAAATCAGAGTGGAAATAGAGGGCGTTCAGTTTAGCGAATAAATAACACCAGCAATGAGTTGCGCAATAAACCGTTACAACCTTCGTGATGTTAATGGCTCTGCCCTTTTGTGCGCGTATAGTTGCAATAAATTTCGGCAAAACGACATTTCATAATCTGCTGGGTAATGCGGCTTCCGTCTGTTTTTCTTTTATTTGGTTACCCGTAATGGAAATGCAAACAGCGAAGCCTCCCGCGTCAGGTTCTCATTTATAGTAAGCCAAGTAAAAGGCTGTCAACATGACAAGAACGTAATACTGAACGAATTTATTTAGACATAACGAAAATTTTGTACGACATGTAACTAATTTAATTACCCATTTTTGGGTCGTTGATTATTACAAGAATTTTTTAGTTTTCAAAAGGAGAAGTAATATTGATGTATAAGCCGTGAGTCAGTTTCTTGTAGTGAAATTTTAACAAAGCATAAAACTCTATTTTTGTATATATTTTTCATTTTTCTTTATAACATGGGAATATGTCTTGATTTAGAGGTAAGTATTTCAATTCAAAACATCTACTTAGTACTCAGTACTCATATTATATAAGTTTTAGCCGCAAATTTAGCTATTAACCATAAGCGAGTTTTCCTTTTAAAGTTCCAAATCCCAAATCATCAACTACTACAAAAT